GGGGGTCCTCACAGTCCAAAGAGATGGCTCTGCCCAATCATAGACTTTCAGCCTCTAAAAGCCAAATAAACCTCTTTTCTTCATTAAGTACTGAGTCTCAGGTATTTTATAGCAATAAAAAAAAAAAAAACGTATTAATACATCTACCATCCCGTTTCCATATGTAACTAAACTGCGCCATTTGGACCATACTCAGCTTTGACTTGATTCCAAGTCATGGGAGGGGAGGAAAAGCAAGAAAATAAAATAAAGGGTAGAGGGGCTGGGGTTATAGCTTTGTGGTAGAGCACTTGCCTAGCACATCAGAGGCACAGGGTTCAATCCTCAGCACCACATAGAAAATAAATAAATAAAATAAAGGTATGTGTCCATCTATAACTAAAAAAAAAAAAAACCTAAATTTGTGTTAGTATATGGACTTAAGAGGCAGAAGAGGTTAAAGCCAGAGAAAGATAAAAATGAACAACAACAGAAACTAAAAATAATGAAGGGATAGGAAAGTGTAGGTAGGGTAATTTATAAACAGAAAAATCAGAAGTTGCTCAAATACTACCAAATTGCAATAATGATTATGCTACAATATTAGCTTCCCAAATGGCTTTCTACACACTCCTATTTATGTCTTTTCATGTTCCTAGGGCAGACAATAACAAAAAGATGCCCTATTTCAGTGGTCTCAGGAGACACTCATGTCTCTGAAGTTTCTTTCCAAAATGATCCAAAAACCCATAATGGTCTAGGTCCACTTCATGATGGTAATGACTGACACTGAGCGATTACTAGGTACCAGCAATGCTAAGCAAGTACCTTATCTCACTGGTCCTCCCAACAAACTCATGAGATAAATGTTATCTCTATTTTAGACACTTAAAAAAATAATAACCCAAGGTGCAATTAAACATTTCTGTTTAATTGAATCCTACCTACCCTTGACAAAATTATGAGTAAATGAGTGTGGACAGGAAGGAAAACAGTCATTTCCTTAATATCTGTGGCATGCCTGGAACCTCACCTCATTCACAGCTTGCCAAATCCTACAATGAAAAGTACAGAGGAGAGAGCCAGTAAGTGATTGAAATCTGAATTTGAAACAGGTTTTGACCCTATCCTACATAATCTGGGTGCAAAGTTTCATGGAGAACATTTTAGTCCTCCAGAGTTAATACATGCACAGCCTCTCAGGGCAGCTGCTTGTACTTCCAAATCAGCCCAGCTCTGTGGGCCAGATCAAGTAAAGGTGTGAAAGGAGCCTGAGGAAATGTTAAGATTACACAACCTGATCCAGGAAACCTCATCCTTTGCACTTCTCAACCAAAACCAATAAACACCCTGCTCCTGCTCTGTGTCAGCCTTTGGGTTACAAAATGGAATCTATCCCTGCACTTGGTGTACATTCTAGTAGGAGCACATACTCTTGAACAGTAGCATAAAAACCATAAGCATATGATTTTTGGCATCAGATCCGCCATTTTAGGCTGGGAGCCATTTTTATCTAGGGACTCCTAGGTTTTGATTTAGGAGCCATTTTATCTAGAGATCTTGAGGCAATGCTGCTTAGCCTCCCATAAGAATGTGTGCCTGCTAAAGGGTCGAGCCCACCCCAGCCCATGACATAACCCCTAAAGCATGCTTGTGAAATTCCTCCTGTAGGCTATAAAGCTGCCCTGTGAGTGACAACAGGCTGCTGTTTTCCTTGTTAGAGGGACAGCCTTGTCAGTTTGCTCCATGGTCTGACAATAAATCTCTCGAGTGGGATTCTGGTGTGTGGGGTGGTCCTTGAACTTTGCAAGTGTCCTTTCACACTCAGTATCTAACCATGGACTGTGAGGCATGGTGTCAAACTGCAGAGCTTGCTTTTTTAGGGCAAACCTAACCTACTTTAATCAATAGTTATTTCTAGCTCCTCAGATGACCAGATAATTAAATTTGAAGATGGAGCGTTCAGGAAACTACATTTCCCCCTTAAAGGGGGGCAATAAGATTTCCTGGTGCCAGCAGAACCAGACCTGAGTCAATCAACCAGACTGCAGTTGGACCAAGACTGCTCACAGTCACGCATATTCCCTGCCCTGTTCCACTGTTTTTTCTTCCCTATACAATCCTGAAGCTCTGATCAGTACCCTGAAGACAGGGCTTAGGATGCAGGTCCCCATTTCTTCCTAGTGTGGCTACAGTAAATAACAAATTCCTTTGTTTGCTTCACTACCACTCATCTTTCTCTGGACTCTTTAAGGTGGTAGGTGGCCAAATCTGGTCCATTTTGTGGCCCCCAAGTCAGGCCTCTGGCCTCTAACACCAGTGACAGGCCCAGCTTGGATGACATGGGATGCTGAGAGCCAGCCTTTACCTCCAGTATTAGGAGAGGCTTAAGCTTGTACCTGAAAGGCTGTAAGCAGCTAGGAAGGGTGCTTCCTGTTTCTTCTGTAAGTATGCACATTGACATAGATGTTCCTATTCCACTGGAAGAGAAAAATAAGGAGCCCCTTATTTTTTATATCGGTTTTTTGTTTGTTTTGGAATTGAGCCCATGGGCACTCTACCACTATAACCCCAGTCCTTTTTATTTTGTATTTTGAGACAGAGGGTTTTTTTTTTGAGGGGGTGGGGGTACTGGGGATTGAACTCAGGGACATTCAACCACTGAGCCATCCCCAGCCCTATTTTGTTATTTTATTTAGAGACAGGGTCTCACTGAGTTGTTTAGCGCCTCACTTTTGCTGAGGCTGGCTTTGAACTTGTGATCTTCCTGTCTCAACCTCTCTAGCCACTGGGATTACAGGCGTGAGCCACTGCGCCTGGCTTGAGACATGGTCTTGGCTAAGATTTGCTTAGGGGCTTGCTGAGTTGCCAAGGCTAGCCTCAAACTTGCAATCCTCCTGCCTCAGCCTTCCAAGACTCTAGGATTACAGGCATGCAACACCATGTCCAGCAATGAGTCCCTTCTTTAAGTAGGAAAAATATGTCTTTAATTAAAAAGATACTATAAAACAAATAATTTGTGAATAAGAAATTTCTTATTTCTTTATTCATATGCTGCTGAATCCTTTGTTCCAACAAGAAAAATACAGAATACAGAATATTTACTTTGTATGGAGCTGAACAAAGAACCTATCAGCTGATTAGTGAAACTGAGGCAAAAACATCAAATATGATTGAATTTGTTATATTTTTCATCACAAGGGACAAATCTCTCTTCGATTTTCCTTATTTCCTATCCAGATACAAGGATTCTCACCAGACTATTTTAATAATGGAGTTCATCTTAACCAATATAAAATGTGAATGTCTATATTCCTGTAGAGCTCAAGTTTGTAACATGTTTCATTTGTTAGCAGTCATAAAACATAGTGCAGGTGATGGTGAGAGGACACACATTTACCTGTTGTCAAACATGCTGTTTTGATCTTTCGTATTTTAAACCAAATCCTTTGTTTCATGAACAACAAAAACTTCAGTTAACATTTCCTGCCTCTATTATAGCTGCTTTTACCAAGTGTTGTAAATAAAAGTATTTTTGACAGCCCACAAACTTAAAACACATATCATCTCATGCTTTTCTAATACCTTGTTCCTTTGGGTTCCTGAGATGGATCAAACAGAATCTCTAAGCAGGATAAGTTTGGAGCTGTATTGCTACTTTTATTTTTCATGTGGATGACATTTTTAAATTTGTTTCAATTAATAATAATACCATTAATATTTATATTAACCGCATTTTATTTTAAGCTCTCTGGCAGAAGTTTTGTAAACATTTGTTTAATTCTTATACCAACCTTGCAAGGGAGGCATTATCCTCATTTTACAGATGAAGGAACTGAGGCTCAGAGTGGCCACTTGCCATAGATCATGTGATTAACCTCATAGCTGCTGCCTTGATACTAAATTTCAGCCTTGATAATAAACCCATAATTTAATTACCAATCATTAATTGAACTCTCAGCTTTCTGTGGCAAAAAAAAAAAAAATACTATCAAAACTTGCCCTGAGATATTACAACTTAAGATATCTTAACTTGGGCATTACTATATAACATACAAAGGTGGAAAGATGCATAGGTGGGAGTCACATAAAAAAAAAATTTCTGAAAGCAAAAAATCACCCCCAAATATAAAATTCCTTTATTAGCTTTTTTCTTTTTTTAATCATATAACAATACTAAAGGACACGTATGCCCCAAGCATGAAAGATAAAAAAATCCTCATAGAAACCAATTACCTGCCAGCTACAGACCTTTTCAGCAGCCACAGTTGGTCCTGTCTAACTTCACGTTCCTAATATACCATCTTGACATATTCTTCATAATATTTTGAATCCCACAATAAAATGCAATCCTGGGCAGTTCAGAGGAATTCTGAACTTCTACACATTTACCTTTCACACTAGTAGGATAAAGTGGGAGAGGGGAATAAGATATATCTAATACCTCCCAAAGCATCATTCCTATAGAGCCGATGATGGCAATCATCAGATCCCCAGACCAAGTATGTCAAGAGGCCCAAGAAAACAGCCAGTCTTGGAGCTAAAGAATATCAGTGTTCAAAGGCAAACTATTCTTGGACACTGGCTCAGAATTAATGTGTTAATTATTAGAAAAAAAAAATCCAGTCCCTGATCTAATTAGGAATAACATGAAGAGAAATTCATCTAAAATTTAAAAACAGAATAATTCAGGATCCTACTTCCTATCCTGGCTTTAGTTAAGACAATGATGTTTTATCACTAGATAACCCAGTTGGTGGAACATAAATGAGAACACAGAGTCACTAGAATATCCACTTTCTTGACCCAGTGCTTTCAAAACTATCCCATTTCTATTCTATTTCAATTCCTATTGGAGAGCAAAACCCCAGAGTGCATTCCTACCCTGAAAGGAAAGACTTATGAGTCTCTCTAGAATGATGATCTTGAAATAAAGAACTTTCTATGATGATATTCCATACAACAGCCACTAGTCATATGTGGCTACTGAGCACTTTTCAAGGAGCTAGTTGACTAAGGAATTGGATTTTAAATTTCATTTAATCAACATAAGTGTAAGTAGCCATATATGGCTAAAAGCTATGGTAATGGACCCAGTGTTCTAGATACAAGTTCATTTTTAGAAAATAAAAATGCACTTGGTAAAGTACATCTCTTCTTAAGACCTCCAAAAACAGCCAGGTAATGGCATTATTTGTTCAAAATGAACTTTTCTGGGTAAACTCTTAAGAAAAATAATGCGCTGTCTACACTCAATAGACGAGGAAATGAGGTGATTCAATGGCAATTCTAGCATCAGGTCTTTTGGCTCACTCCCAGGATTACTCTCCATTTCCATCTGAAGCCATTCCTATCTCACTTTACATTTTAAAAGTTCCTCCTCAGTCCTTGGTGGCCTCTCCCTGGACAGATTAGGTAGCCAGTGGATCTCAGTTTTTCCCTCTAAACAGAGAGGTTGACTTTTTCCAGGCATTTGGGAAACACACCAATAAACTTTAGAGCACAATTATCACCAAATACCTTCCTTGTAATGGTCCAGTGGAGGAAGGGGGGACGGCATGAAACATCTGTGGAACTCAGGTAGAAGATGAATTTGAGACTGAAAATGAAGGGAGGAGGGCCATTTTCCCTGAACAGCTTTTCCACGTCCACTCATGAAGGAAAGAAACCCCCACTTCAGGAGACTCAAGAGACTTTTCCATGTGAATTTTCCGATGCTGACTGAGATAGGCACTTCTGCTGAAGCATTTCTCACAGTCGGGACATTTGTAAGGTTTTTCTCCTATGTGGGTCCTTCGGTGCCTGATGAGGTTAAAGCTTTGACTGAAGCACTCTCCACAGTCGGGGCATTTATAAGGTTTCTCTCCTGTGTGAGTCCTCTGGTGGATCACCAGGGTGGAACTCTGACTGAAAGTCTTCCAGCACTCAGAACACCTGTAAGGCTTCTCCCCCGTGTGCGTTCTCTGATGTCTAATGAGGTGGGAGCTAAGGCCGAAACTCTTCCCACATTCACAGCATTTATAGGGCTTCTCTCCTGGCTGGACTCTGCAGTCCTCTACCATACTGCAGTCCTGATGCACACTTTCCTCATATTCAGAATTTCCACAGGACTTCTCTCCTGTGTGCGTTTTCTGGTGTGCTATAAGGTTGGAGCTTCGACTAAAATTCTTCCCACATTCTGCACAGGGATAGGGTTTTTCTCCCGTATGGATTCTCTGATGCTTAATTAGAGTAGAATTACAACCAAAGCCTTTTCCACATTCAGGACATTTGTAGGGCTTCTCACCTGTGTGTGTCCGCTGGTGGCGGATCAGACTGGAACTTTGACTGAAGCTCTTTCCACAGTCGGGGCACTTGTAGGGCTTTTCTCCAGTGTGAGTCCTCTGATGTTCTATTAGGACATAGCTGTGGCTGAAGCCTTTTCCACAGATGGGACACTCGTATGGCTTCTCACCTGTGTGTGATCTGTGGTGCTGAATGAGGTGAGAGCTGCTGCTGAAACTCTTCCCACACTCGGGACATTTGTAGGGTTTCTCCCCTGTGTGCGTCCTCTCATGGATAATAAGATGGGAGGTGTTGCTGAAGCTTTTCCCACACTCTCCACACTGGTACGGCTTCTCCCCAGTGTGTGTTCTCAGATGCTGGATCAGGTGAGAACTATTACAGAAGCATTTCTCACACTCAGAGCATTTATAAGGCTTTTCTCCGGAGTGGGTCCTCTGATGAGTACGCAAATGAGAACTATTACTGAAGCTTTTCCAACATTCCAAACATTTGTAGGGTTTCTCTCCCAAGGATGAATTCTGATGTACAGAGACACTGTTATGTTGTTCTGTGTCCCATTCCTGGTGGTTGGGTTTTTCTGCTTTTCTTATACAATTTTCCCAACACTGTGACATGCCATCATTCTCATAGGAATCATGACACCACATCTCATCTTCTTGGGACCATGGTAATGGTGTTTCTTTTGTATCCTCATTCTTAATATTCTCTGGTCCATGATGTTTAGGCCATTTTGAAACTCTATCTTTAAGACAGAGTTTCTCTGCCTGAGGAGCATTGTGTTGAGCAGTTCCCATAATATTCTTACTTTCATCTCCTGCAAAAATAAACAAATATTCTAAACATATTTCCTGATCTCTACTAGAAAATTCTGAATTGTAGTGAAACAGAGGAAAAAACAATGTAAAACCTCATCAAGTATTTTATATTAAAAAAAAAAAAAGTATTTTCAAGCTTTTATTCTATGTGTTCACCAGAAGCAGGAGAATTAACAGCACAAGTGAAGCAATTGAACCTGTTAGCAACTGTCAAGGAGAACCTCAATCTAAACATAACACATTAAACTTTATGCTAGAAGATGTGAAAGAAAAAAGGGAATCTAAGTAGGGGTGAAAGTGTACAGGATCCCATCTGACAACATCCAACCTGTCAACAGCTTAGTTAAAATATGAGCAAATATAGAAATAACAATAACCACCTTTACTAAGAACAGGAGCTTTCCATGTGATATCTCATTAATCCTAAAATATTTGTGAAATACAGATTATCATTCATCATCTTTTCCTTAAAGATGAGAAAACTGAGGCCAAAATAATTAACACAATTTATAAGTGACAGAGCAGAGATCCAAGGTAAGTGTTGTCTCATTCTAACACCTTGTTCTGTCCACAGGGTCTCTAGCACACCTTTTTTTTTAAAGAGAGAGAGAGAGAGAGGGAGGGAGGGAGGAGAGAGAATCTTTTTTTTTTAATATTTATTTTTTAGTTTTCAGCGGACACAACATCTTTGTTTGTATGTGGTGCTGAGGATCGAACCTGGGCCACACGCATGCCAGGCGAGCGCTACCGCTTGAGCCACATCCCCAGCCCTCTCTAGCACATCTTGTAACAAACTGCCTAACCATTCAGACAATCTTCTCAATCCCTCACCTGAAAAGAGGACTTTCAAATTTTCCCTCTTGGTGAAACCTTTAGACTCTGCCACCAACAGTTCCTTTCCTTGCTCCATCACAATAATCATAGCCAGGTTAGGGAGCAGAAACCCTGTGGATGGAAACAGGGGTCACATTTGGAGGCACTTGTTCTAAGTTTATTCCTCCTTCCTTCCCAACCATTACAACATAGCAATTGTAGGCACAGAATGTTCTGTTGAGACCATACTGAAGAAAATTGGCTGTGTTCAGAAATAAGAGTAAACCTGATTTACCTATTCTAAGAAAATAATTTTTAAATTATCATAATTTATACTATTTATTATTACCTTTGCATTAAAAATCTGAAGGTCAAGCTTCAAATATAGACATGAACACTAGTACTCAATGTCCACTCATAGAAATACCTTTTTTTTTGAGAGAAAGAGAATTTTTTAATATTTATTTTTTTTAGTTTTCAGTGGACACAATATCTTTATTTTAACGTGGTGCTGAGGATCGAACCCAGCGCCCCACGCATGCCAGGCGAGCACGCTACTGCTTGAGCTACATCCCCAATATTTGAAAAAACAAAATATTCTTGCAGAAAAGGCATCAATAGTAACTTATAAAGACTCCAAGAAATCCCTATGCTGGCATAAGAAGCAGCTAAAGAAGAGAAAGCAACTTGTTTAGTTTCAAAAGAATAACCAGGTGGTTGACAGAAGGAAGAAAGTCAGTTTCAATGGAAAGTTAAGATTTATAAAATCAGTACAACAAAATAGAACAAAGCAGAGCTGAAATAATTGTAGCCCGTCACTTCTAAGTATAAAAGGGAGACAAAACAGGGACTTCTTCCAGGCTTGCACTTAGTTTATTAACCTATCATAATCATGCTGTCCATTTCAGCCCACCCTTCATCTTCTGGAGCCAACTACACCCCCTGACCACTTTAAGGGATAAGAGAATGTGGTCTACCACCGGAAGGCAGTTATCTATGGACTTGGATTCATTTCAGGGTGTAAATAATACAAAAGAGCCTAAAATGAAGAATCTCCAAAGGTACACATATTAAAAACAAACGAACAAAAAACCAGTATGATTTTTATCCAGCTGCTGCTTGTCATGTGTCAGATAGTGAAATAAATAATCTGCATGGTTCTCTTGTCATTCTCAAAATAGCCTGAGGTGTATAAATAGCCCCACATATTTTAATCTTTAAAAAAAAAAATCTTAAAGATGGTTTCACAGATAAGTTGAAAGGTATAAAGAAGCTTTCCCAAGGTACAACCAGGAAACAGTAGAGCAGGATTGGGAGGCCCACCTCCTGGATGCCCATCCGATACTGCGATACTGCGAAGCAGAGCAGACACAGCGGAGGAGAGTGGGGAGCAGCGCCGGGCTTAATCCCGAAATGCAAATACTCCTCCAAGAGTGCCTCCACTGTTGTGGACGTTCCCAAACACACTCGGCATCTGGGGCCGGTTATATAAGGGGAAGTGACCTAAATCACAGACATTCCCAGTGTTTCAGTGGGAAGAAAAAATCCTATACCTGAAGGCAAAACGGGGGGGGGGGGGGCGGGGGCTATTAAAACGGGTATTTCTATCCAGGAATTTAGCAAGGACTCAAGGGTTCGGGGGGCCGATCCACGTCCCACCGTTTCCCCTGCGATACTATATTGGCTTTGGAGCTAAGGGGGCAAATTCAGGTCATCAATGACACAACCCGATGTCCTTAAGAGGTCACGCCACTGAGAATGGCCGCTGTCACTGGGACAGCGTAGACAGGTGAGGGGTGGAGCGCAGCTCTGGACGGACAGCCCTCAGGGGAAACGCGCTGCGCTCGGGACACCGCGCCCGCCCGCGCGACCCCCGGACGCCGGCGCCGCAGCTCCGCCCTCCCGCCCGCAGCCCTCGGCTCCCGGACCGGAGGACTCACGGTTCCGGGCTGCGCTCCCGGCGCGCCGCACCCCAGCGACCCCCAGGGGTCCCGGAGGAAGAGCCCTGTCCCGGCCCACCCCGCCCCGGCCGACCCAACCGCCCGGGGTCCCAAATGCTCCGACCGAGGCCGGGACAGGAAGTGGCCCCGACCTCCCCGGCGGGCTGTGCGGGGGCCCCTCTAGGATGCAGCGCTCGTTGATCTTAACCCTTAGAGTCCCGGGCTAGGAGCGCGCCGGGGATTTCCTGTGCTGTGATTGGCCAGCTGTGACCGCGTTCCTCGGCGCCTCGGGATGGGGGCCTGATTGGCGCTTGTGCTTTCCTTGCCATCCGGGTGTCATCAGATTGATCTTTAGCATCTTTACCATTATCCCAGCATAATCAAAATCAATATAGTATTCAAGATCCTCTTGCTTTGGTTCTCATCGCTCTGAGTATGGATACACGTTGACCTTTCGTGAAACAGTTGGAGAGCCGAGCACCGTTTATAAGTCGCCCTTATTAATAACGCTTGGAGAAGCAGGTACTTCTCTTTCATTTTCCCCCCATGCCACACACACCAAGACTGAGATGGTCAGGGAAGTCCTCTGGTCAGGGAAGTCCTCTCAGGTAAGGAGAAATATCCTCTTATCTGAGAGGAACTATGAAGGAAGGAAATGGACACATGAACCACCCAGTTGTTTAAGGGGGGAACAATAAGGACAAAGGAACAGTAAAGAAAAAGACCTTGAGATAGAAACACATAAGGTGCAAAGCAGTGAGACTCACATTAGCAGGAGGTGATGTCAGAGAAGTATCAAGAGGCCCTGCAAGATAGACAAGAGATGTGGCCTTCAGATTCCCATTCCAGGAAGGACTTGTCCAACCTCGGGAGTGTGATGAGCAGGGGAGTGTGATGAGCATCCAGCTTGCATCTGCCAGCCCGTAAGCGTCGCTGCTGCTGTGAAGAGCCCCTCCCAAGCTCACACCCTCTCCCGGAAGCTCACACCCAGGGACTGTTGAAGGTCCAAAGCAAGAAAACTCTTAAACCATTCCAGCTCCTGAGTTCTCAGTGGGCAGGCAGAGGATGCTGGTGCCAGGCCTCAGCTGCAGGTCAGCTCCCGCCTCTGCTCAAACTGGATTCCTTCTCCTCTCTCGCACAGACATTGATCCCAAGGACACTCTGCAGTAAACATCCTGGACAGCAATCAGTCTTCAGAATCTGCTTTCTAAACAAACAACCCCAAAATACACAAACATACCACAGAACATTCCCTCCCATTCTGGCCTCAGCTACTCAATTCCTCCCTCCATGGCAACCATAGCTGTCTGTTTGTGTCATTTATAAATAAATATATGTGAGCAAATACATACCTACTGGCAAACACACAGATGCACACACACATACACACGTACACACATACGCACAGGTAATAATCGAAAATAGATGTTTGTTTCCTTTGCTGGGCATGTAGTAAACTGCTCACTTGTTCTAAATTTCTCTTCCACTTAACACCCCATCATAGAGAGTTTTCCACCGCAGATACTCCTCTCAGAGCTCCCTTATTTTTTTCACAGTTACATAGTATTCCATTGTTTAATTGTCTGTGGGCCCTTCTGTTACGGTTGCTTCCAAGCCTTTGCTGATACACATATAATGCTGCAATGAGTAACTTCACCTTTGTTTTTCAAAGCTGGATGGATGTTGCGAAATGGTTTGCTCAATATTCAGAGTGCTGGGGTGCTGAGTCCAGCCTTCTCCACATACTGTGTGGCCATCCTCCCACTGGGAATCCTGTCTGAGGATTTTGATTTTGCCTCCCTGCTGAGGAGAATTGGTGTTGTGGACTGAATCGTTTCTACGCATATTTGAAGCCCTAACAACTAATGTGACTACATTTGGAGAGGGGGGCCTTTAGAGAACTTATTACCCTTATTACCTCATTTAATTAAAGTTAAATGAGGTAATAAGGGTAGGGCCCTAATCTGATAGAAGTAGTGTCCATATAAGAAGAGGAAAAGACCCAGGATGGATCAATCGATATCTCTCTCTCTCTCTCTCTCTCTCTCTCTCTCTCTCTCACACACACACACACACACAC